CTGGTGTAGTCCCTAATAAAATGTAGACATCCAATAAATGCTAGTTGTTATTGTTACTATTACCTTTCTTGTAAACTTTAATCATGAACTTCCCATCTATAATTTTAGAATGATTTGGTGTGATTTCCTAGGAATGGGACAGGCCATACTCAAAGTTGACATCTGCAGAAAGTTCCTTACAGTGATATGTGGCCGTGTATTCCGTAACAGCTCTGCTCTCTAAGGGCTTTCAAGACAGATCTGCAGAAATGTCAACCATGAAACGGGCTGAAGAGAAGTGACCTACTGTCTGTTCGCCTCTGACACCATCAAGAAACTTGCCAGCTGGGTTCCAAGAGCAGATTCTTTACTACAGTGATGATGTAAGAGGCAGAGACAACAGCTGGATTTTCAGGTTCTAGGGAGAATTTGTGGCATCAGCAGCCCCTCAAAATTATCTTTTGACTTAAAAACCAAGTACACTGGATGTGAAAGTCATTAAAAGAGAATACATGTGAAACCCCATGAAGTCATTCTCTGTGAGTCTTTTTTAGAGTGTAACCACCCTTTAAGCAATGAAACATGACACACCATGCAGTGGTTCTGATTAATAGACGCTCAGGTGTGTACTAAGGCAAAAGGGGAAAAAAGAGGGAGCTAGGTGACAATTTGCCAAAAAATGAAAGTAAGATTATAGCAGCAGGATGTGGGGCTGAGAAAGAAGGATTTAATTAAAGGACAGACATATTATGGTTGTATTAATTATAAAATGCACAATTTAAATCAAATGTTAGATATATTTAAAATGTACATTTATATAATTACACAAAGGATTTGTAAATTTGCCAGATAATTTTTCACTGCAATGTACTATTGATGAGTGATTTCCTTTATCATTTTAATGTAGTTGCCAGGGGGTAAAAGTAGAAGGAAGTTCTATCTGGTGAAGTGTCGATAATCTGTCCAGCCTTACGACGGGTTGGAAAGAACAATGAAGAGCTCTTGAGCCCATTTTGCTGTTTGTGTGGCTGCTGGGGTGATGCTGTTTAATGGATGTCTCAATGCATAGCATGGCTCCACCATACTGGCCAAAAAGAGTTTGATTAATACTACCAAGGTTTTCCTCTGGTGAGTAACAGTGAGTCAAGCGCTCACCTGGGAGATGCAGATGAAGTCTTGTAGTATTGGAGCTAACATTTAAGAGCTGAGCTTTTCTGGCCAAGTAATAATTACTGAGATTCCCTGGAAAAGTCTGTTTTCCTCACCTAGGTAAACACTATTATCCCCACAGCATGTTTTGTTGGGCTTTTCATCTTTGGGTGAGAGAAAATGATTCTGTTTGAGGATAAGGATAGAGAAGAGAAACAACTAATGTTTCTTCTACTACAAGAGAACAAGGCAAGAAAATTTGAACAGACTCGGAGGCAACTGTCTATGCATTTCTATAAGTAAAGTAGTAATATAAGGAAAAACAAGTAAACATTTAAACAAACCTGGAGAATGAGTACTAGGCTAAGGTAGGTAGAAAAAGAAGTGTTAATGTGGCATAACAGCAGATTGCCAATAGTTTGTTTCTATAAAGTAATGAATTTAACCATAGAATGACTGCATGTTTTCACCAAGAACTCCAGCTGAACCCACAGCTTTTCCAAAGCATGAGAAATGTCTTTATTCTTATTTTCAGCCTGAGTTTATCACCCCAGGGGTATTTTTAACATTTTATTTGTTTTTCGTTTTTGTGGGTACATAGTAGGTGTATATACTTCCGGGGTACATGAGATGTTTTGATAGAGGCACACATGTGAACTAATCACATCATGGAGAATGGGGTATCCATCCTCTTAAGCATTTGTCTTTTGTGTTACAAACAATTCATTTACCTTCTGGTAGTTATTTAAAAATGTACGATTAAGTTATTATTGACTATAGTCATTCTGTTGTGCTATCAAATAGTAGGTCGTATGCATTCTATTTTTTGTACCCGTTAACCATCCACACCTCCTCCCCGGTGGTGTTGACTGTATTGTCATTATTATTTCTGCTGGTAATGTTAGAAAAGTTTGCTTCCTTGTTTTTTAAATCCACCATCATTTTTTAGACATTATTTCACTATAAAAGATATTTATTAGTTCAGTTTGTTGAAGCAAATAAATGAAGCAAGTTTGTTATTTTTTGGAACACAATGTATTTTTGCAGGTTACACACCCCAACCTCCCTCTCTCTGGTCTTGTCATTATTGATGATCTGCTGGGCCTATTGGTGCCAAGTAAGCACTGATAAATATTAGTCTGTGGCCTTTTATGTCTGTTATCCTTGCCCAGCCCTAACAAGGATGTGACCTTGAGCAAGTCAGTTCCCTTAATCTCTTCATCTGAAAAATGAGGGGGTTGAAGTAGATGAGTTTTGAGGTCTTTTCAATTTAGTTCCCATTTCTATGACTCAAGGCAAGAGTGTTTATTCTTTTTAAATTCGTTTCAGCAGATTATCAGCCTAGTGCAAACTTAACGTGCAAGAAATCATGGCCCACTATAGGGTACTCAGAGTAAAAATTGCCTCAGCTTTCAAAGAGCTTATGAAGAGGGAAGACAAATTACACAAATAACCATTCGAATTGGTAGCATATGCAAAGGGAGTAGTACAGAATGTGCTCATAATATTTAAGAAAGGCAATCTCCTTTGTGAAATGCTTCATAAGTGAGGTGGCATTTGGATGGCCCTTGAAGAAGCTACATGTAGACCTTGAAAGAAGGGAAGAAATACTATGAACATGGTGGGGAAGAGTAGGACTACTGGAGTGTAGAATGGAGTGTAGAGATAAGAGTAAGAAACTGGATTAGGCTACACTGTAGCAGCTTTGAATACCAAACTGAGAAGTTTGAATCTAATCCAATAAGCAAGGAGGACTGTAAGCAAAGAAGTGATATGTTTAGAAGGGCACTTTAGAAAAATTAATGCAATGTTTGTGTGAAGGATGGATAAGAGGTAAAGAAAAACTGGAAAAAGTGAAACCAGTCAGGAGTCTTTCATAGATGTCCTCACGGTCGTTAGCAAAGGGAGAAATAGGGGTTGGTATAGAAAACAGGTATTGATTCAGGAATCACAATCAGAATAAAATCCATAGGATTTGGCAGCTAATTGGATATGGGAAGGAAAAAAAAAACAGAAGAATTAAAGATGACTCCCCAGCTGTAGGCCCATGTAACTGGATGAAGAGAATACCAATGGCAGGAAATGGGACGTCTAGAGAAGAAACAGATTTTAAAGGAAAGACAATGAATTCAGTTCTAAACTTTCTGAATTAGAAAAGCCTGTGTAGATTTGATGGAGATGTGAGCTTCTCAAAGTTAGAGACCCTGTTTTATTCATCCAGGTGCCTCGTAGATACTATATAAACACTGAATGAATGGACAAAGGAACAAATGAACCAATAACCAGCTGTTATTTAGAATGTGGGTGTGCAGCTCTGTAGAAAAGCTAGAACTAAAGATAGCAATGTGGATGCTCTCCATGGAGAAGTGATTGTTAAGGTCAAGGAGGGCTGGGGAAGACAAAGCCTGAGGAGAGAATCTAGAGGAATGTCTACATTTAGAGAACAGAAGGAAGAAAAGAAACCAGTGAAGAAGGCAGAATAGCAGACTGAGGTGTAGGAAAAAAATTAGGGTAATTCAGTGTCCTCAGGGTTAGAGGCTATGGAAGAAAATAGAGCATTTGCAGTGAAGGACAGAGGAAATGTTCAGAACATGCCCAGATCAATGAGTGTCACTACAATAGGTTAAGAACTAAGCAATAAAGAGAGAGAGACTGAAGTGGAATCAGGAATATCAGAAATGTGGTAAAAGTATACAGTGGAACACTATGCAGCCTTCAAAAAGAAGGAAATCTTGTCATTTGCAAAAACATGGATGAATCCAGAGGTCGTCCATGATATATGGGGGAAAAATACGCTCTTTTTGTACTAGAAAAGCCAGGCACAGAAAAACAAATACTCACTTATATGGGGAATCTAAAAAAGCTTAATTTATAGAAGTAAAGATTAGAATGGTGGCTGCCAGAGGCTGAGGAGACATCAGCCAAAGGACACAAAATTTCAGTTAGGAGGAATAACTCCAGAGATGTACTATATATCCTCATGACTATCGTTAATAAGAATGTAGTATATATTACTGAGAGTAGGTTTTGAAGTGTTCTCACTGTGAAAAAATTATAAATACATGAGGTAATTCTTTTTTTTTTTTTTTTTGAGACGGAGTCTTGCTCTGTTGTCAGGCTGGAGTGCAGTGACGCGATCTTGGCTCACTGCAACCTCCGCCTCCCGGGTTTAAGTGATTCCCCTGCCTCAGCCTCCTGAGTAGCTGGGACTACAGGCGTGCACCGTCACGCCTGGCTAATTTTTTGTATTTTAGTAGAGACAGGGTTTCACCATGTTGGCCGGGATGGTCTCGATCTCCTGACCTCGTGATCCACCCACCTCAGCCTCCCAAAGTGCTGGGATTACAGGCATGAGCCAGCACACCCAGCCGGTAATGCATATTTTAATTAGTTTGATTTAGCCATTCAACTATGTATACATGTATCAAAACATCATGTTTTAGACCATAAATATATACAATTTTTATGTGTGAATAAAAAATATAGTAAATGAAAAAAAAGAAAAGGATACTAGAAGAATCAAGAATCAACTGTGACGAGGTTGAAGGACACTGTTTCTACTTCCTTCCCCCACTTTCACCCACAACTCAGCTTCTAAGTCAGAACCACAAAATCAGCTCCGCCCACACTGACAGGGTACTGTTGATGTCCCACGCTGCACAGGCAGTTAGGTGAAAGCACTGAAAATGGAGCCTGGACAACATCCTCTCCATTCTCCCTTCCCTAACTTGCCATTTTCTGGTACAAAGATGTAGAACCAACCAACCAACCTTTCACTGAAGTCCCAAAGTTCGTTCTTATCAAAATAAATAATTGCCATCACCATCACCTGTTCACTTAACTACATTATTTTTGTGTTTTGTCTGATCTAGATGCAGCCGCTCTCTGTTCCCTGCCCCAATGAACATCTGCACTAGGCCCAAGCCTTGGAGTAATTTACCTGAAGAGTGACACCATTTATTTTGAAACTACTGTGAGTACATTATGTCTCCAATAAAACGCTTCTTAGTTCACTTTGTTTAATTAAATACACACACACACACACAGAGAAAATTGTGAAAGCAGGCAGAATTTTAGATGGCTTCATTTCTTGGATCAGCAGGGTAACCAGACTCAGTCCTGAGGTGCCCACAGCGGTTCTCAACTTCCCGGCTGCAGTGCACACCATGTGCAGCATCATTCCCTCCCCTCCTGGGCAGGTGGCTGTGCCGAGCTGTGTCTAAGCACACCTTGCAGGGACTGGTGCTGTTCTGCCTGGTCATCTGTGCCTCTACCTATGATGGTAGCAGCTCCTCCTAATCTGTTTGCTTCTCATCATCCTTCTGTGCCACTGTTGAATCTCACGGTAGCTTGTCATTTCATGCCACCCTGGTCAAATCTGTGACCAGCAGCTTTGCTTGCTTTGATTTACCTGTTGTTTGAGCTGCAGCCCATGCTGTTGTCTCCTTGTTGCCCTTCCCTTGGAGCTCTGGGCTCCTTCCACCACATCTCTAAGCTGCTGTATCCAGCTCACCTCTGCTCTCTGGATGTATGGGTCTGTGTAGTTGATTTAGTTCCTGCTATGCAAGGCATTTATGTAGGATAAGTACAGACCTTGCAAGGAAAGGTACAGAAATAATTTGGGGTAGGAGATATGATACCTATGGGAAAATACTAACGAAAGATCGAAAATACTAATGAAAATACTAAAATAACAGATGAATATATGCTATTTTCCACTAGAAAAGCCAGACATTTGAATTATTTAGAAGTTCTGCATGCAAAATAACTTAATTATACATTTTAAAACAATAACTAGTTATATTCACAAGTTTTCCTATATGTTATGAGGCAGGTAATGGGATGGTGTTTTACAGACTTCTATGTTACTGGAAAACGCTAAAGCTGGGAGACTAACATCCCTCTTAGGCTTCAGGTAGGATGTTTACATTTGTCTTTCTATGTCTTTAGCTATTCTGGCAGAAATCGAACCCAAAGGGATGAAGCCAGAGTTTTGTTTTATTTTGTGTTACTCTTTTACCTTTAATGCTTCCAGTCAACTGAATCATAATTGATGGTAGCTGATGTGTAGGTGATAGACAGGCCTGCCTTTCCAGGAGGGGAATGTGTTCTGTAGTGCGAATAGGACTGGGGTACTGGGGACTAAAGACATGACAGAAGATCAAACGTAGTTTCTTCAGTCCACACCCACACAAGGAACTTACTTATATATGCCTTCATTGATCCTTAAGTTCAAGTGCAAGGAATATCTCAGAAATTCCCACATCTGGATAGTTTTCTGAGTTTTTCTTCATCACAGAGTAACTATGCTGGTACAGATAACACAGACTTACTATGATGCAGACGGGTTTCAAAGTTTCTATATCCTTTAAGAGGGAAAAGAGTTCTTATCACTCTTACCTTCCTGTGCTACAGAGAACCCAGATCCAGACCTAGAAATCAGGACCTGATGTTGCCTACAAATTACAGAGAAGTCTACAAGTGAGCATTTATGTCTGTCATAGGAAGTATTTCATCTGTGCAGAATGCCAGTGCCTGCTTTCACTTCTCATGGGCCCTAGGGAATGGGCAGATTGGGTTATAATCTTTGTAGTCTTTGCTATTCAGAAACTTGGCTTTCTAATGTATAAAAGAGAAATAATAATAAAACTTGCAGAGACTTGCTAGGTGCAAAAATCAATAAAGAGGATAAAAAATTAAAATGTGAACCATTTGCAGAAGTATATCTCTTCTGGTGGGTTGACAATGCTTTGGGCCTAGTCTCAAGGCTTGGAAGTGGGTTGGGGAGGCATATATTAAATTTTAACACCTACCCACCCCCCATACCACCTGCACAATAATGCTCAGTGGCCCTGCCTACTTAACCAGATCACTGTGATAATTCAGTGACATGGTGTCTATATATAAAGTCTGTCTTGGCAGAGGTGAGTATATTTACTCAGTCATCTAAAATTTGCTGAGCATATACTATGTGCCAGACACTGTTCTAGGAACTAGGTATATGGCAGCAAGCAAAACAAAAATCCCTGCTCAGCTGAGCTTACATTCTCTTTTCTTGATCTATGAATGGCAATTCAACATAATAGGTACATGTAAGCTAAGAGAGAACTGATTTTATTTTGTTCTGTCCTTCTTCCAGAAAGTATAATTGAAAGTATAAGAGAGAACACATGTGTTGATTAGTCTTGTCACCCCATTCTACCCCCGCAAAAAAAAATGCAGAACCATTCGTTGCCCCGATGTGTGACCCAGAAGACTGGCCTTCTGGACTCCATTACTCAGGCTCTCTTGTCCTTGGACTTCCCTTTGAATTTGGCCAAAAGGCAACATCAGCAGGAGATGTGAAAGTGGGAGAAGAGATAGGTCAGGGAATGTATTAGTTCAGCCCTCCTTCCCAACTCCAATTCTGGCTGGACTCAGAATTCATCACCATTTTGCTTGCCCCTTCAGTTTAAATGGTTTAAAGCTTTCCACTACTGCTAGTACCTGGCAGTCTCCACTATTGCTAGTACCTGGTGCTATCTCCCTTGAGGTCCCTGAACTTCATCTTCACCTCCAAATACACTTTTTTCATTAAACCCTCTTTAGCAAATTTTTCATGTGCCATCTGTTTTTGCCAGGATCCTGACTGATACAGTTAGGAGGAAATTATACTGAAAAAAATTGTAAATCAGCCCTGCCAAGGTTAAAAAAAAAAAGATTGAGAAAATAAAATGTGTTTAATCACAAAAATATCTTAAATTGATATGAGGACATCAGACCAGGTAGAGAAATGATAAATTGTAAGAAAACATGATAAGCCAGAGTCCCATTGGTTGGTCTCAATGAATAGACCATAGTGCTCAGGCTTGATGGGCTTCTATAGGCTAAGTGCAGCTTGCTCAACCCTCAGCTTCAAGGACCTCATGGTATAGCATAGCCACAGCAATGACAAACATGTGAGCAGAAAGGAGATGTCAGGAGGTATACAGTGAGATCAAAGTGTTGAGGAAGAGATTGCTTGTCCTAACATTGTTTCTGCCTTTGCTACAATAGCAATCCATTTGCCCCTGCCCAAAATCTAGATGTCTAAACAGATTACTGAAATGAGGGAAGGAAATGTCTTCTTTTTTCTTTCTTTCTTTTTTTTATTTTTTATTTTTTGCTCTGTCACCAGGCTGGAATGCAGTGGCACGCTCTCGGCTCACTGCAGCCTCTGCACTCCCAGGTTCATGTAATTCTCCTGCCTCAGCCTCCTGAGTAGTTGGGACTACAGGCACATGCCACCATGCGCAGCTAATTTTTGTATTTTTAGTAGAGATGGGGTTTCACGATATTGGCCAGGATGGTCTCAATCACTTGACCTCATGATCTGCCCGCCTCGACTTCCCAAAGTGCTGGGATTACAGGCATGAGCTACCACACCCGGCCTGGAAATGTCTTCTTAAAACTAACATTATGAAAGTCACAGAACTAACAATCCCTATGAGAGGAACTACCATTATTGAGCCCTTACCATGTGCCAGCACAAGGCAAATCACTTTACATGGCTTATCTCATGTGTTCCTCACAATAACCCTAAGTGGTAGGTATTGTTATTCCCATCTTACAGATGAGGAAAATGAGGCTCAGAGATGCGGAGTAATCTACCTAGGGCATACAGCTAAGAGGTAGTGGAGCACAGTTCCGCTACCACCCTTGTTGGGGTGGTTTGTTGCCACCTACCCTTTCTCTCCTGCCCAGATACTAAGCCTATTTAATGCATTGCTGGGGAAAAGAGTAGGGAAATGGTTACGACTCCAGCAAGATTAGGGGAGGCATCACTGGTCTAAATTATCATGAGCCAATAGGAGGTTCCAACTAATTTTTTCCTATCTGATAAGTAACAGACACATTACTTATCAGATAGGAAAAGACCAAGCTGATAAGTAAAAGACACATTAACGTGCAGGAAAGGGTGGGAGCCCAGTGAAGAGAGAAAATTGGGATAGGGTGAAAGAAGAGAGCGCTCTCCTCTCAACACCCTGGAGACTGCTAAGAGCTCACACAGATAAAATATTTATTTTTCCATATGTTGCAGAAAGCATTGCCATCACTGTATGTGTGCAATATGTGCAAAAGAGTGTGAAATATATACATCAAATGCCGCCGATCTGGTTAATTTCCATGCATTTAACATGCTTAATACCTACCATATCATCAATATGTTTTAATGCATATTTCTTTCCACATACAATATGGTCTAGTTAGGAAAGAGCCAACATCCTCCACAGCCTTACTCACTGCTATGTTTCAGCCTAAAACTTCTTACTGGGGCCAGCACAATGAGAGTTAAAAACCAGAAGGCTCTGCTGGCTAACTCAGCCGCCACTCTCCTTAGAACACACTCCCAGTTCTTGAAGCAGCCTTTTCTCATAACAGAAATGTTTGCAGTGAGGAGATGAAAATGTTTTTGTTCTCTTTGGACAATTGAGAGATGTTCAGTCAGAATGTCAGAACTGACCGTTGAAAGGCGGGTGCCTGCGGCCACGCTTTTTTTTTTTTTTTTTTTTTCTTTTTTTGAATGCAGAGCTCCACCAGTGTGGCGGGAGGAAGTGCACAATGATTGGTCTGTTTCTCTGTGGAAGTGTTCAGGGTACACCCAGTTTTACTTTGCATATATTTACGAAACATCTGCCCTTTTCTTATTCTTAAGTCCTTCCCTGCCACCAGCCCCCTTTCCCTTTTTCCCTGGTTTCTTTCTTTGTTGTTGTTGGCTTGTCTAACTTTTTCATTGGAGCTTTCATTTTCCGGTTGAGGAGCGACTTCATCAGAGTGTATAATTTTAATAGAGAGAGAGAGAGGAGGAAGGGGGTGGGAGGGGAGAGAGAGAGAGAGAGAGAGAGGAGAATGAGAATGAGAACTGAAAAGAGAGACTGAGAGGCCAGAGCCTGGCAAATCAACCTTTGGCATGGTGACCAGGAGGAAGGTTCTGGTCGGGAGTTTGCCTCTCTGAAATCCGCTGGAGTCAGCCAGTGTGCTGCTGCCCTCTACAGGCTCCAGGGAATAGTGCATCGCCACAGAGGCTTGAAAAGACTTGCCCTCAGATGTGCCATGTTTATAATTCTTTTTACAGAGCCTCAAAATTTATTTTCAACTAGTTATGACAGGACTTATTCTTTCCTCCTTAATAAACTATGAACTGCAAAAATGGGGTCAATTCACAGCACCTGTGCATGTCTAGGCATAAACGAGTGCTATATTTTAGGGTTTCTCAGCTCCAGAAAAAGGAGTCCAGAGAACCATTAGAAAGGGTGAGATAGGACATGAATTGCTTCTGAGGATGGTGAGCAGTTCTCCGTTATCTGGACAGTTGGGAAACAGCCCAGTGGTATAAGGGTAAGTAAAGTGATTTAAGACAAATAAGGGGGTAAGCCAAAAAGGTTGAGTTTTTAACATTTCCTGTTTATAGAGGTAGCTCCAATGCCTCTGTGCTATGAATATTCTCCCAAAGTGATCATTGAGGCAACAGGAGGATGTGGTACAAGATGTCAGTCAGGAAGCAAGAGCGAATCTAGGGAAGGAAACAAGGGCATTGATATGAAGAACAATATAATTTTTGCAGTGTTAAAAATAAAAGAGCAATATATTGGTGGTTTTGTTGTGTCTTTATGTTTGAAAGAAAGCTTTCTTAATTTTCTGAAGTACACATCTGAAAGTATCCTAGGCCCTGTCTACGAATATCAAAAATAAACATTTTTTTCTGCTAGGTGACATATGTCATTACTGTTTTGTCACTATATTTAAATGAATCGTGAGGGCCAGCCTAGCCTTACTGAGCAAAATAGTCCTGCTCTTATTAAATGCCCCTCATAGACTGAAAGCAAAAGCAGCCAATCAGGTAGTTTTGCTACCTTGCTGCATAAAAAGTAGGAAACTTCATTGGGATTCAGACTATGACTATTCTTAAAATACACTTTAATTTCAGCTTCCTTTCATTCTGTCCACAATCAATTACTGAATGACAGCTTTGTCTAAGCTACACTGCTTAATAGTATAGACAAGACAGTAAACTCTGGGAGGGAAGGAACCAGGCCTGTTTTATTCTTTAGCCCATGTTGGCACATCATGGGGACATCATGAATATTTGTAAAATGAATATGTAAATGAATGAATGACAAGAGAGAAGGAAGAAGAAAAGAGTAGATGAACACAAGGAATACAAAAATAACTAAGACATTTCCTTACCTTCAGAGAGCTTACGGTCTCACACGAGGGATATGCACATAAATAGCCATTATTGAAATAAAATTGAGTGAGTGAAATAAGATTAAGAAAAAAAAAAGAGCATAGGCGTTTCAGAGAAAGACCTAGGGAGGAATTCAGTGTTTGGAATGAAGTCCTATCTGGCAGAGAGGAATCAAGACAGTTACAAGATGAAGACAGCATTTAATAAGTATGAAGGATAATAAGTATGATTTCAACAGGGCAGCGATGAAATACGGGATATTCAAAGCAAGAGAAAATTTGAGCAAAGATGTAGACCCCAGAATGTAGACTCCCAGGATGTTCTGGAGGATATTCAAGAAATCTGAGGGTCCAGTATGGCCAATATATAGGACACATGAGAAAAGTTAGAGGAGATACGGAACCAACCTTGAGTGGCAGGCTAATGTAGTCATCTTAGATTTAGTGAATGCAAAGAAACAGGACTAGAGGAGTGAAGGAGGATGGAGAGGCAGTTAGTAAACAATCGGCTAGATAAAAAGCAGTAAGGTGATTGCATTGAAATTGGAATGGAAACACAGATGTGAAAAAAAATACGAAGGAAGCAGAACTTTAAGAACTTATTGATGAATTGACTTTAAGGCAGAGGAAGGTGTATAGTGATGCTGAGGTTTCCAACCTGGTGGTAGACAACAGTGATAGAGATATGGACCTCAGAGAAAGCATTGGTTCTAGTAAAGGAGTTGGGCTTTAGCAACTTCGATCTCGGCTACATCTTTAGACTGAAAACCAGAATACCAGCTCCTTCAGGGTCCATGTAGACACTCAAGATTTGGGGGTTACTCCCATAGTCACCATTCAAAAAACAATTGATAAAGTCTTATAATTTGTTGCTTCTCTTCTATTGGCTTCCTCCATACTGAAAACGATGTCTGAAAGCCTCTCCTCTATTCTAATCTTTATCATGCTATCTCTGCCTCCTGCCCTCTGAAGAAACAGATTTTATTTCACAACCTGTTGGACTGAAAACACAGCATACTAATCATAACACCATATTCTGCGAGGGCAGATTTAACTACCCAGCACAACAAATTTAAATACAAAATATTCTGCATAACAAGTCCATTACCATGCTCATAGAAACAAGGGAAACATGGAAACAAATCTACTTACAACAAATTCTGTACCATACATAGTCTTCTACAAATAAAAGAAATGCTTTTTCTGGTCACTGTCCACATAATGATAGAAAAAGACACAAATCCAAGGGAATTGGAGAAATGTTCAGAAACTATTAATAATAATCCAGTTTGGCTGTGGTCTAGGGTACCAGTAGTATAAGCTAAGTATTTGTTAATTTCATATCAGTTGCATTGTCCTCAGGAGAGGAGACCTGAGCTGACTGATAGCTGTGCTGTTTTACTTCCTATTCCTGACCCCATATAACAATTAGTAACAATTACTTTCTAATTCCCTTCACCCTTCTCTTCCTCATGTCCCAAACACACAGTCGTACCCTAAACTCCAGGACGATGCACCAAATCAAAAATCTTAGACGTAGGATGAATAAAGAGTTGGAGTAGAAAAATCTCTGCGTGACACCTTCCCTCTTCAGCTATTAGAATCTAAGCTCTTCTTTTCACTTTCCACTTGCTACTCTAACAGAAACCTCCCATCACTACCCCCTCGTCTGTACAGGCTGCAAATTTAAATTGTGATTTGAAATTTATTTAAGATAAAATCTAAGTAAGAGCAAGAAAGTTAAATGTTCCATAATGTATTCCATGAGTAGAAATTTAAAGTTGGAAGGAACCTTTAAGGCCTTCTAATCCAAGCCCTTTATTTTACAGATGAGGAAACTGAAGCCCAGAGAGGTGAAGTGAGGTGCCCAAGGCCACACAGCAAGTTAGAGGCACAGCTAGTACCGTAGCTCAAGTCTCCTGACTCCCAGTCCAGTGCTCCTCCCATTACTCCATGAGTCCTGTCTCTAAGCTTCCTGACAAATGCTAGAACGGTAAAACTTCCACTAGTATTTTTCCAGACCATGTTAAAACTCCTAAGGGGGGAAGAGGGATGCTTTCTTGGATAATGTCAGCCATACGTAGCTCAAGCTGTCTAAAGTTCTGGGACAGGGTCTTTTTATGCAGCCAACAGAGTCCAAATGTGGTGCTGTTTGCTTGGCCCATATGCTTTCATGTGTTCCCAGTTAGGCCATTACTGGAGGGAAAAAAAACAAGAATCAGCTTGTTTTAAAACAAGGGACATACTGGACTCCCTCCCATCCCCCTTCAGAAAAAAAAAATCAAGTTATCTTTAACAGATTCTAAAAATGCCTTTTCCCAAATATGCAGTCAGTTCCTTCAAAGGGCCCTTTGTTTATTTTCAGGAAGAAACCCAAGACAGCTGAAAACCAGAAGGCATCTGAGGAGAATGAGATTACTCAGCCGGGTGGATCCAGCGCCAAGCCGGGCCTTCCCTGCCTGAACTTTGAAGCTGTTTTGTCTCCAGACCCAGCCCTCATCCACTCAACACATTCACTGACAAACTCTCACACTCACACCGGGTCATCTGATTGTGAGTACACCACTAAGGTGATGGTGTCTTCGCAGTGCGGAGTAGTGCTTCTCCCCTGGGTTCTGGCTTTTTTACTTTCAGAGCAAGCCCTTTGCATTTGGTCTTCTCAGGCAGCCAAAAGTAATGTGCCACCATTTTCATTCAGCCAACATCTCTATGTTTTCAAAGCTAGAGTATATTTAAAAGCCAGGTGACATGCCATTTGGCCTTAAAAGGCTATTTAATTACATAAACCACGTTCTTTTCATAGCACTAACTTAGAAAAAGAAGTTTTGTTGCTGGTATTCATTTATTCTTGATCTGGATAATGGCACTTCCAAAATTACTAAATTGAACAACCAAACATGGACCTCAGAAGGCCAGTTAGACACAAGGAAACATCCATTTTGAAATTACATAACACAAGTCAGATTTGCATTAGTTATTGGAGTCTCATGTAGCTTGGCTGAATTTCTGTCTTTCCAGTTTTTAATTTATTTTGAAGTGGTTAAAGGATAGCATAAATTTACAGAAGAAAAGAGAATGGCTTCCAAGAATTCAGAAGCCACCCAGACTTCACACAGCCAATGAGAATCCAGGTTAAAAATATTTTTTAATTAAAAAAACTGCCTAAGGGCTAAATTTGGAAATGGGCAGCTTAATGAGATCGTCGCTATTGAAATCACTTCTTTGCTGTTTATTTTTGCCATCTTCCCACTAATCTGGGAGTCACTTCTTCTAGTTCTATTTTAAGCAAGTTGATAAATCACGTTTAGGAGATTTTTTTCTTTTTCTGAAATGTAACCCAATACTTCAGAGAAAAAGAAACATGTGTGTTGACAATGGAAAGGAATGAAATAACTTTGGAGTCGAATCCAAAAGAATACTCCTTTTAGTCTTAAGATGCCCAACAACTCTTCTGAACTGATCTCCATAAAGGATGTCTGGTAACATGCAAGTAACTGGCATATTCTTCTTTAAAATGAGTAACATAAGACCCACAGAGTTTTATTTCAAAAATAAAATTTTGTCCACAAAGACAAAAATTATTAGGAAATGAGATTCTAAATATTTTATTGTTATTTTTCTGATAGAACAAATATAACATTCTGCCAAGAAGGCAAGAGACAGATTGGTCCAGGAGATTCCGTTCTCCACTTGCTTCATCATGATAATCTCCAAAGAGAGGGAAATGACCTGGGGGCAGTGTTGGGGTGAAGAGAGCTTGTTCTACTTAAGGTTGGGCTAAGACCATATTCTAACTGTCACTAGAAAATGAAAAGGGAAGTAACATGAGTCAAATCTCTGTGGCCTATGTGATTTGAACAGTCGAAGTTGCGGCTTCTGTAGAGAAACCAGGGGGCAGAAGCAGGGACTGTGTCCTGAGGACCGTCCTAATCGTCACATCCTTGGACCTTCTTGCCTGGCAATCTCCAGCGTAATAGTAATGACAAAAAGAATTGGAAAGTACCATGGCACAGTGCCCAATAGGCATGTGCACACTGTCCCTTCCCACCAGGAAAATCGCCTGTTCCTGTGGTGAAGGGCCTGGAGTTTCTACATGCAAGTCTTCATTACCTGGCTTTCTGCCGCACATTATGGGTGTGGATTACATAGAATTGCCTTAGCCCAGAAATCATCTGTTGCAGCAAAAATGAATGTTTTGCTGAATAGAAAAAGCACTGGGCTTCACTTACTGTGCTTTATCAATAAGCATCCTCTGGCCAGGCCTTAGCATTGGCATGAACTAAGTTTAAGGAACAGCGCGAGTGTGGTGTCACCATACATCTACTTGGTGGCCCTGGGGAAGCCAATGGATGTGAGCTCAGTTGGAAGAACAAACCAGGAGGAGAAACTTGATCTCCAGCTGTTTTTAGACAGTTTGATTTTGCCATTAAGATGTGTAAGTCTTCTCTGTTCCAACCTGTTGTTTAAATTGATTATACTTTTCTCCAAATATATTTGGATTGTAGTTTGTCCTGATTTGAGCCTACACTTAGAAGAAAATTGTTTTTAGGAAAGATTCACAGAAATCTGTCCATTTGGAGATTGCTTGAGAGAAGACAGGAAAAAGGTTTATTTTAAGCTGTTAAAATTTTTGGATGCTCTTCTTGCATTCAAGAGGATTTTTTTTTTTTTACTTTCAAATGTCATTCTTACCATAGATTAATTTAAAAGCCTAATTTCTTTAAGGTAAAATATTCAGTTCCTATTTAGAACTAACAGATTTGGGGCATTTAAAAATAGTGCCCTTGACTTGTTAGTCTCTTTAACTTCAGAAACATTCCACCAGTGTGTAGTGTTCCAAGCTTTCACAAGTGCCTGAATTTTTATAGCACCTTTTTATTTGTCATGTGTTTAGCAAAATTATTCTTAGTCATGTTTTAATGCCCATTTCCTGTCAGTATGATCCTTCCCAATTTACAGATGAGAAAACTGAGAAAATGGACACCCAGGTAGATGAAAGACTTGCTTGTGGTTAACTCATTTGGGTACTGACGAGTGTTTATGGATTTACTCTCATTGTGAGAGCATTTCTTATTGGAATTCTCTGTTCTGAGCCCAAAGATGGCATTCCTGGCTCTGAACAGGCATCTTGAAAATGTGCAACTACTCATATTGGTGACTGGGTTGTAAAACATGATGGATAAAGCATCCCCAGAAAAGAAAAGTCAGCTCTGCGTGTGAACTGACATGGTTGGGTAACCCACCATCTTTTTTGCATATGAAGGACACGGGCTGTGTTTTCCAGCAAAGATGACAAGTCTGACCCCCTAAATTCTCAGTTGGCTATTTGACTTCCTGAGCCTCTTCAAATTTGGCAAAAGATCCCAGTAGTATTCAAAACAAGAAGAAATATAGTTGAGATATGCTTTCTGTTGTGAGATGATGAGGTTAATATTGCTGCTAAAATGTATGTTGCTTTGCAGTGCACCTACTAACACAATTTCCTTTTAACAGTATTCCCCCATTACCCCCTAGCTTATCATCTCTTCACCATTGCTAAAAATCTAATGGTAAGCAAATTCACATGGTGATAATGGAAGGCATTAAGATGAGTTATGGAATCTGAAAGGTAAAAAACACCCTAGGTGTTTGATAAAGCAGTTCCCCACTAAACAGGCTGAGTATGAGCTGAGCCAAGTGCTCCCTTTAAATGCTTAAGCAGAATTAAACCAAGTCAGTAAAGCAGACGAAGCTCTCCATATGAAAAACCTTTCTTGACAGCTATCAAGCTGTAGCACATCACAGTCATATACATGTGATAGACGCGACCAGAACTTTTACTTGCATATTTCTTCCATTTTGTTTTCCCCCAAATAAGGCTCCCATTGAAAGAAGTGATTTTCCTCCCTGTGGCCGTCCTCCCTACTTCTGCTGTAGATCCACCTATTCTGATGTCTGTCTTTTGTTGCAAGCTGATATCCGTGGTGACTCACCTTCCCATGTTTTACACCGGCCTCATCAGACTGTCTCATTTTTTGTGTCCTTGCCAAGATGCACTTACGCTTGAACAGTTTTTATTTATTTTTCATTGAACCTTTACACATTTCCAAACTGTTGTGTGGGTGGGTTTAACTTTAGCTCTGTAGCATCACTCTGCTGGGGCTGGACACTCACAGAGGCCAGTGGGCTCTTCCTTTTCCAACTCTTGCCATCCGCCTTCCTTGGCCTCCCCCTCCCAACTATTTGCTTCACCCACCCAAGTCTCTGTGATTAAAATTTTTAGTACATTTGGCTCATTTTGAACTTTTAAGCAATTTTTTAGAGAACAAAACAGAGGATTTTTATGGCAAACTCCATTAATGCCACATTAAGGCTGACATTTTAATTACCCCAAAGTCAGGAAATGCAAAGTTCAGGTTCCCACAGCAACAGAAACTGTCCCCTTGAGTGCTGGCATCACAGCAGATTCTTTCATTCCCTGATTACACAACACTGGGTGTGGGGACATTGTTTTTATCCACGTATGTGGAAGGGAGCGCAGCTTTTATCCTTTGATTTTTTCCTGTAACTACAGTTGAGGATATGGGTCTTTAGCTTCCCTCCCAAAACCATCTATACGTATTATCCTGAAACGGAAGACTATTATAGCTCTACATGTGCACACGGACAGAATTAAAGTTGCTGTGGGAACATTAGCTCTGATTTCCGGACTTCCGTGCCAGTCACATTTAAACCATAATGTTGTAATTTTTGGCATGTAATAAATGTGCATTTCATGTACACAGACAGAAAGAAGCATAAAATGTATTTTAAAGAGCAATTAATTACTAACTTTGTGATTAAAAAACATTTGGTGCATGTTCCTTCCCATTTAGCATCAGCTGCTGGTCTTAGCCAGGCCTAATAGATGACATACTGTGTCTCATCCTGTAACTCAGATGTACTTACTGTATGTTCCCGTTCTTCCAGATAATTAATTCCCTTAGTAAAGCTGTAGGGGGAAAACAAAATGGAAGGAATATGCGAGCATGTAAATAGGGTAAGGGATATTTTGAAGGAAATTATTCATTTCTGCGAATAAACCTTTTAGTCCCTGATAACGAGCCAGAAATCTGCTAAGTGGGTGTAGACAAAGGTTTCTGGCCACCTTACAGCATCTGGTTCGGGGCCATAAGAACAACTTGAAAGCAGATTTCCTCTTGAATTCCAGGCATGCCCACTGGGGGAGTGATTTTACTCTGTAAAAACTTACAGGCATAAGGCTTAAAAAGTTGTTTTACTCTATAACAACTTTTTAGTCTATGCTGTATTCAAACTGGAAAGTTAAAGTTATAGGAAATCAGGTAAGATGAGGACTTTGCTATAGAACGACTGACTTAAACAGTAATTTTGTTTCTTCCTTTACATTTAAATCTGGTTTACCCGTTTGTGTTAGAGAAGGAAGTGTTTCAAAATAACTGTTTGAACGGGTTGGTGAGTGAAAGGAGTTAGTAGCAATACTCTATGGTGCCGTGTTTAAAAGTGCAAATGCTTGAGTATATATTTGAAACCAAATGAGATAAAAAACTTTTCTA